TGAAGCAGACGTCAAAAGGAAAACACAAAAAAGCCACAGGAGAAACTTATGAGAAAATGACCAAAGAGAGAAAACACATTTGTCAACTCTTTTTTTTTTTGAGCTCATGAGCTTAGACGGAGAATGCAGCCATTGGTAGCCGGATAAGTTATTTGTAGTCTTTATGACTGTATGGGAGCTGTGTATTGCAAGAAAAGATTGGTCTGATTTATCTAGTGCTTTCAAAATGAAAGGTGCCTGTACCTCATATGTCCACAAACAGAAACCATAGAAAGCATGGCATACATTCCAGGTAGCGTATATGTAAACTAATCAAATAGCTAGATTAACCTTGCAATGACATTATGAAAAGTTTGGAAGTCTAATTAGCCACAACTGTAAGCAATTTAAAGATTAAAAATATATATTTTAAAAGATTTTTGAATGGCCAAAGCAAACATTTTGTAGAGCATAAGTACGTGTATACTATAATTATTGCCTGAACCCTTATTTTGAAAGTCCTTGAATGAATCTTGACCCCAAATTTGGAACTACTAGTTTGAAAGAAATCATCTCTGCCACATTACAGCAGCAGTTTCAATGCAAACAGTTCTGCAGAGATCAAGGAATCACATCTCCTTTTATAAATCAAGCTGTGTGTCCCACCCGCCTCACACAGTTGGCAAGCTGTGACCGACAGAACAAATTAAGAAGAGATGGAAAGGTAGGTTTCCATTACAGCGACCTGCCCAGCCTTAAGCCTGTCACCTTTCATCACAGCTTTGTCAAACAGTGCAACCTCCACTGTGTTCCTACGGGATATGCTCACTTCTGCCCACAATTAGTTATCGGTGAGTCAGTGTAACTAGGAGACTGCAGAACAACCTCCTCTTCTGCTCCACTAGCTTTTCAGTCAAAAAACCTAAAAAACAAAATGCATTGTTAGTCACTGCTTCCCAAAACAGCTCATATGACTGCTTCAAAAATGATTCATATGAGAGTTTTCATACCTGCCACTGTTAGTGGATTTTGGCTTCTTTTTCTTTGTTAAAACATTTTTGGTCTGTGACATGTTCACCGCAAATAGAGCCAAATTGCAACCTGTCTTGTCCATGACAGTTAGACCTCCTCTAAAATTCTTTCTGCTTTGATTCTGGACAAACCTGCACAACGTTGCTGAAGTAAGGACAGCTAAGACGTCATTTTTCTGGCAAGGACTGTCACTAACCAGCTAACATAGGTTGTGTGTCAAATGCACTACAGCCATGCACTGTCATTTTAAGTTCATTTCTTCATATCAAATATTTGTCTCATTTAAAGCAGTTATTTTCGTGGGTCAATTTGACCCGCAACATAACAGGAGGGTTAACTTCAGTTCATCTCCATTCTCATCTTAGTCATCCATTTATCATATTCTAAACTCACAAACCAGCAGCGTTCAGAACACAAATTGGTAAATTTCCTCTGTGTAATCACACCCAACAGCAGAACACAAGCATGAAAAAGGTAAGCGCATGGGAGGGAAACAATGTTTAGAAACAGGAGATGCTTGTATGGAGTACAGAAGTGATAAGTAGTGAACTCTGTCTCTGCCTGCCAGTAAGATGGGCCCTAATTTTCTTATTTGTAGCTGTCAGCTGAGCTTGTGTGTGTGTCCAGCAATCCAGGCCAGTTGACAGGCAAAGGCTGAGAACAATAATGTTCAGAAGCACTTTTCACCTCATGTCTACACGTGTTTTTGTCTTTCAGCATGCAGGAAACCTGGACGGCTGCCACTCGTTTCTTGCATGCTTCAATAGTTTTTATTCCCCCTCCTCCCCTGGCCCATCCTCGCTCACTGATTTGCCTTATACACACACTTATCTAATCGTGCAAGTATGTTTATTTTATGTTTTTTGCAGGTACTGCAAATGGTTGCCAGAGCTTGTCAAGCATATTTTATTTTCTAGTTCAACAGGAGCAGAGAGAGTGAAAGCAGGGGGGGGGGGGGGGGTATATGAAGAAATAAAGGCAGGAGCATCAATGTGGCTGTTAGGCTTTACTGTATGAGGGGATAACGGCAGAACTCCATCTTTATTGCTATCTTTCACTGTCTTTTTTTTTACATTGTTGTGTTTTTCCTTTCCTTGTCTGCCATTCCTGTTTTGTCCTTCTGTTGTTCCTCTACTTGTTTCCTTTTTTTTCTCCTCTCCTTTCCTTTTTTATGTCTCCATGTCGGCAATAGACGTGGAGACAGGCATTATGTTTGCGGGTTGTCCATCCATACGTTCGCCCGGCCCATTCGTGTCAGGAACACCTTGAAGGGATTTCTTCAAATTTGGGACACATGTCCATTTGGACTCAGGAATGAACTGATTAGATTTTGGTGGTCAAAGGTCAAAGGTCACTGTGGCCTCACATCCATCCAATTCTTGTGAACATGATATCTCTGGAATGCTTTGGGGGAATTTTCTCAAATTTGGCACAAAAATGAACTGGTTAGATTTTGGTATTTCACAGGTGAAAGTTCAAGGTCACCTCATGTCTGTTCCATTCTTATGAATGTGATATCCCAGAAAAATATTGAGGGAATTTCTACATATTTGGCACAAATATCAATCTGAACTCAAGGATGAACTGATTAGATTTTGATGGTCAAAGGTCAAGGTCACAGTGACCTCAGGTCCGTTGCATTCCTGTGAATTTGACTTGTTGGCGGAGGCATACAACTGCAAATCAAGAATCCTACTCTCTCTTCATTTTCTTTCCTCTTCTATGACATTTGAGTTCCTCTCTTCTCCTCCCTACTCCTCTCCTTTTCTTTCCTCGCTTCCTCTCCTCCTCTCTCCTTGTTTCCTATCCTCCCCTGTCTTTTCTTCTCCCTGGAGGATTAGGACAGGGTCCTTTTCATCCTGCTGTAATCCTACACTGGCACCTAAACTGCATCTAGAATAAACATGCACACACACACATGCAAGCACACACATTTTTCTGAGAGCTGTCTATACACTATGTTCTGGGCACTTTGCCCAAATAAGCCCATTCACATACAGCGTGACCACATAGCTTCATAGCATGCTTCACGTTCATCTGGAATAAAAAAAACACCTGAGAGGATATTTTTCAGCTAATGTTCTACTGTGGTTGCTGCTCTCCTTCAAAAAATGTGGAAAAGAGAGAGACACAAGGAATGAATGGGAGAGAAAGAGACAAACAGTCACATCTACCTCCCAGTCCATCTCTGTCATCCCCCTCGAGGTGGGCCTTGCTGGGACTGTCAGTTGAGCTACCCCCCTGCTGAGACCTACAATGGAAGATTGGCAACTCCAATACCACAGCTTGCTTTATCTGCCTGAATTAAAGCCCATTTGGAAAAGGGTTATGGGAATTGCTGTCTCAGGAAGAGCTTTTTACTTACTCTTTTTTTTTCTGAATTGTGAGTCTGAATTGTGTGTGTGGGCACATTTTAGAGAAGCAATGTAATCAGGGGGAGAGGTGCTTGAGGGGAATCAGTCAGAGGATGAACACTAACTAATACAGCAAGATGCAGAGCTGTTGTTAGCCCTTTACCGAGAAGGATGTTTGTTTTCAAAAGGAAGGGGCCCATGTATGCATGTGTGTGTTTGTGCTTACAGGAAGTGCTCGTGAGGCAAGCAGGATGTGCAGGAAGTATTTGGCTTGGCTCAGCTGACTGCAAGGTTGCTGCTCTAAGGATCGCTGATGCAGGGGAAAATGATGCAGAGATTTTCCCTTTTTGCCCTGCATTCGCAAGACATTTTACAACAGAAATTCTCCACAAAACACAGACGTATACTCACGAGAAAAAAGCCACTTAAAGTCATCTAGGATGGTGATGGAGCTTTCCATGGAAGTTGCTCTGAATTGGGCTTTTTACTGTCGCTTGTCGACTGATTGAGTCTCTGGTTAGTTTTATTCCATGGTGAGAAACCAGAAGAACCTGGTCTCTTATGAAACCTAGCCACACATCCACCTGTTACATAACAGAGAATGTGTCCCTGTAGCAGACAGAGCAAAGTTGTAGTGTCAAAATAGGACAAGGTTTAACTGGAGGGTATGTTAGGACAACAGGTGAGCAGAGGTCAACCTAAGCTGTGTTACATCATCTGTAGGGGTGGGTGATTTGGAGAAATCATTCTAGCTCAGTGTGTACTTTCGGTATAGTCCAAAATCACAAGATTGTCTCGACACTAATAGGGTAAAACTGTGGAAGAAAAACAAGTGCACAAGAAGAGGATGCTTCTTCTATGACATATGATTAGACAAATGTAGCAGAGGAGGACAGAAGCAAAAACAGGCCTGATCATAAATGAAGAACAAACAAGAGTGAAAGTCAGTGTTGAAAGGCAAAGCAGGAGGGAGAGAGTTATCGGTGCACATAACCCATCGTCCTTGTCCCCGTATCTTCTGTGCTGACAGCTGATGAAGATGGCCTGCTCATATGAAGTAAAGAGCAGGACAAAATGTAGACAGGAGAAGAAAGAAAGAACATATGAGCTCTTACATATGTTACTCAATCATCAGTCCCTCATTTAATCTCACTGCAGAGCTCTCCTCAGCTGTGGCATGAAACTCTTCAGTTTTCAAGGACAGAAGCAGTGTATAAGAAGAGCAGGCGGACCACTGTGCAGAGATCATCTCCTGGCTCTCATTAGGTTTTGTTCTTTTGCGGGAGAGCTCTTGTCAGATCGAATTGTCTGAAATGTTTTGCTCATTTTTCTGGACTGTGCTCAGATTGAACTACTGGATTCACACCAGATGTGCTGGATTTGGTGCCAACAATTGTAGTCAAGGAAGACTTACATTTACTCAAGCTTGAAAAAGTAGGATTTTGAAAAGCTTTATGTTGAAATTATAAAGGTGTATCAAATTTTTTTGTTTCATTTTGTAATCCAAAACACTTCACATCAAAGACCGCTTCATAAATTTGTTAATGATGTTATGACAGAAACTGTTTTCAGCACAGACATCTCCAAGATAACATGCTTTCTTTCTAATGCTGATCTCTTCATTTTTATGAACAGACTCTTCAGACCAGGTGTCCTCCTCACCCCTGGGCTCACCCACATCCCACCGGGGAATGCATCCATCTCTGCTCAGCCCAACGTCCATGGGGCCCTCCGGCTCTCTTCACTCTCCCATCAGCACGCTGAGTTCACCGATGAACGGCCTGGCCTCACCCTTCTCCGTTATCAGTTCGCCCATGGGCCCCCACTCTATGAACTCACCTGGCATGGGCTTTGGCCCCAGCGTCAGCCCCCAGGTGAGGCCCATGACAGACTCAAAAATATGTAGGTGCATACACATGCATAGAGAATACATAAAAAAAAACAGTTTGTGTATTTATGGTGAAGCTACTGTACATGCATAGCCAGTGAACTGTCAAAATTAGAAACAAAGTTTTATGTTCAGCACTCTATCCATGGTTCCATGAGAACTTTTTCTGTATATTCATTCTCAAATCCACAAAGAAACAGTTTTCATCTAAACTAACCAGACATATGATTGTGTATCATGTCATACAAACTTTAGTGAAAATTACAGCCCCTTTCACTTGTTCACTCACATATATGCATCATTTCCCTAAGCCATGCCCCAGTAGACAAAAGCCCTGCTTTGACCTCATGCCACAGTTAATCAAGGCCTATTCAACTGGAATTCTGCAGTACTTCAGCTCTGTCACTCTCCCTTCTGTATCTGAGACATACAGAACTTGTCCCTCTCCCCAACCATATCATGTTTTCTTCTTTCTTCTCTATCCCTGTCGTCTTCTTCTGTCTGGCTTTTCTCTTTGCTCCTCCTTGTTTTTTATTCCTTGTGTCTTTAACAGCATCTCAGTTTCCTCTCTTTTCTTTGTTGTCTCTATATTTTTTCCATCAATAAGCCTCTATTTCTTTGGTATTAAAAACACACAGACACACAATTAAAACATCAAAGCCTGCAGTGTCCCAGTTTCTGTCTGGGACCATATATGAAATTGAAATCCCCCCCAAGGTCTTTAACAGTACTGTATTGTTTTAAAATTGCTAAAACAGCTGGTATCAAGACAAGGCAAATGTATTTATGTAGCACATTTTCATACACAAAGGCAATTCAAAGTGCTTAACATAATGCACACAAATTGAAAAACATTAAAATGCATATATAGATAAAACATTACAATGCAAACAAAATAACAAATATTACTTAAAACCATCAACTGCATGACTGGCTCCAAAATGATCACCACCGATGTGTTTTGCAATTTGTTTGTGCTGATCAGATTATAATTTACGTTTGAAAAACAGTACTAGTTCTGATACAGTCCTGAATTTCAGCATCAATAGTGAAAACTCAATAGCAAAAGTTTTTTTTTTATCTATAGAATATGTAGGAATAGGTTGGTTAGAGTCAGAGTAGGGCAAAGGACAAAGGACAACACCCTCTACTTTCAAGCTTTCCACCCGTTTCAAGATGCCAGTGTGTGGTAAGCACATGCAAATGTAAAACAGTATGTTTCACTCATCAAAACTGGAACGAGAAACAGCCTCCTTCAATGTGACTCCACAGTGACCTTGAACATTTACTTTTTGTGTAACAACAGAGTTTTGCCAGTAGCAGCATGTACTGTATGCTGAAGTGTTAAAATAGGAATGCTTTGTCAGCATTTTAACACTGTTTCCTTACTCTTTGTTCATTTTCATCACATTTTCTGATTATAATTATTGTTTTATAATTATTTTAGCAATCATACAGTTTTAAACTGCAATGTATACTGTACTGTATACATACAACCACATTATAGGGTTATAAACCACTTTTATACACCGCTTATAAGTAAGCTATTGTAAAGTGTTGCCATTTTATGAAGATTTTAATTTCTCCAGGTCTTTGCTTAATATACCAAAACTCAGGCATTGTATGGTGCCAATGTTGGAACAAATAGTACCCAGCCCTAAATGTGATAAGTAGCTGTGTTTGAGAATGTAAGCTGTTACCTGTGGATGTTTGCATAACTGAGACCGCAGAAGCTGTTGATTGTTTCTCAGTCAGGGTGGCGAATGGCAGTTTGATGTGAGAGCACGGTTAAGAGGTTAAAGATGGTGGCAGGGCCCTGTGGTGGTGAGGTGCGGCTCTCTGATGAGATGTGATTTGAGTCAGACGGAGTGTGCCACTTGCTCTTAACACTCAGTTGACTTGCTGTTTTCATGAGCAGTCAACTGGAACGAGGTCACAGCTCAGCCTCTTCGCCAGGGTCCAGCCCAAGCCCCCCGCCTATTTATTCTACACACACACGCACACACACACACACACACACACACACACACACACATCTATACACATAGGAATAGACACACACTCAATGTTAACTGACTGACTTATGGTCACTCAAAGTTTGCAAATACTTGTTTTCTTCCCTGTGGTACTACTGTTCACACACTATTAGTGTCATGAAATTTTGAAAACATCATAGTCGTGCCTTTTTTAAACTTTCTTTCTTACTTAGATGTCCTCACCACAAGAGATGTTTATCATACTACAACCATCAGTGTCTTAGACCCATGGAGACATAAAGTCCAGGTGAAAATAAGTTCAAATTCTTCCGGATCTCATTCAACAAAAGCAGTGTAAATTTCAGAAATGGGTAGAAACCCCCAAAACAATGAGGTTTAACCATCCTCTACATCAAACTCATAAAAGACAATATGAAGAAAGCTGGGGACTGAAAGAATAAAAGTCCCGTCTTATTGGAATCTTGCATCTTTCACAAGCCAAACCACATATAAAGAAAGAGAGTCCTTTATCCATCAGCCAATCCTTGCATCTCAGACAACAGTACTTCCCCTTCAGCTCTGTTCTGAACATCCAGACACACACGCTGCATAGTGTGGCTGCCCTTTTTCCAGAGAGAAACTTTTTGGTTTATTGCATCAGTTTGGTGAATCCAGGTTATCTGCTCTTTATACTGTTGAAGATCAGAAACATCTGCATTGTTCCAAGGAGTACCATACACACCAGACTGTCACCAAACACATCTTGATGGGAAGAACTTTGCTCTGACATGAAATGCATAAATGTCTTTCATTCAGTAGTCGGGGGGGATGGTGAGAGATCTCCTCTGGTGTTTGGTCGGGGGCTGGGTGCCAGGCCACAGCAATGCCCATTGGGATCAGACCCATCGGCTATTGTTTCTGTGGGCTTGACCTCACTGACAATACAAACCATCCCTTGATCACCAATTCTCCAAGCAACTGGAAGAGATTTGCAGGGGTTGGAACACATTATACGCTTCCAGTGACAATGGCAAGAGTTGTCTGACTGCTGTTTTTTGCAGAAAAAGGGGTTCTCATCGAAGCACTAAGGAGACCCTTTTTCCACTTTGTGGCTGAAACCTCCCTGAGACTCTAAACCAATAACAGGCCTCCAGTGTCTCTCAGAATGCCTTAAAAATTATCTATAGATAGATATACTGTATACACACACACACACACATATATATATATATGTGTGTGTGTGTGTGTGTGTATATATGTGTATACTGCATATACAGTATGTGTGTGTGTGTGTTCATTGAGTTGAACACAACAGAAACACTAGTGTAAAAAAAAGGTGTGTGTGTATGTTTAACAAGAAATGGAACACGCACTTAATATGTTATAAATGAGCGGCAACACTGATGTCATATGCCCGTTTTGGGTATGTCACATTTAAACGAGTGTCACCAGGAGACCAAACCACAACACACACATTAGAGAGAAAGAGAGAGCAAGAGAAGGAGAGTGGTGGACCTCAGCCCCGTTCCTGTGTAGGAGTCATAATGGTCCATTCTACTGCGCTGGTCTTTGATGGACCTCGGTGTAGTCACTCTGCATGACATCATGGTTGCATGGCTCTAATGGCAGCACAAAAGGGCTGTGTGAAGGGTCCCGGGAGAACAGTTTGGGCTCTATAATGTCAGTCAACCCTCACATAGATGAGGGGAAAGAATTTTTTTTTTAGCCAAAGCTGTCTCCAGGTAGCAATCACAAGCAGTTTTAGGGAACAATTTTCATCCCAGCTTTGATCTTCAAGCAAGTGGAACAAATGTGTAGAATTCATTTAGTCGTGCTTCAGTTGACGTTTGGTTCAGTTGTTTACTTTTTAGTTGCTTGTAGCAAAATCCTTGCTGTTCTTGGACACAGGCCCCTTTTGTCTGTTTCATATATAAATTTCACATTTGCCATATTAATTTGCTGTTTCCTGTTTACGTAAATGCCCTGCATCTATTTCATATTAAAACTGTTCCAGCAGATCAGGAGGCAAAGTGAAAATTTACCATGCAGCTTTTTAAAAGAAATTTTCCTTGGCCTTTATTTTGGGCTACCTTTATTTTTCAAACATACCTTAGGCCTGAATTTAAGAAGCAATAGTATGTAGTATGAGAATGCTGGAATGCTGTGGCCTGTGTGTGTTCTGGCTTGTGTGGGGCCACGGCAGAGGCGAGCCTTTTTTTAGGGGTTGGTAGCTAAAAGGGATAGAAACATTAAGTTTAAGTTTCAGAAAGGGGCCTCTTAATGCCGACTGAAGATGTGGCTGGTTAAATGCCTCAGGGACACACATTTATTTCAGAGCTTGAAATAATCCATTTAGGGATTTAATGGCATCTGAGAGTATGATCTTACAGCAACTCAACACTGGGAATTTGTTTTTGGTACAGAACAGGAGCAGCCATCTGCAGCGCCAACTCAACCAATGGCTCTAACCATCAAGGGCAACTTGGGGGTTCGGTGTCTTGCCCAAGGACACTTCAATGTGTGGACTGCAAGCACCGAGGTTCAAACCTCCAGCTTTCCGGTTGGGAGACGACTGCTCTACAGCATGGCTGGGTTTTGCTACTTCTTTTTTTTTTTTAAGAATGCTGTGATTGACAGCGGTCATGTTATACTGAAAGACTATTTCAGAAAACTTGAGATTCAGACAATGACTGCACACCAGTTCTGAAACACAGTTTTTGAAAGTAAAGGGAGAACCGGTAATTACTATTCACACACAATGAGCAATTTAATTTACCTAGAATACATGTTGAAAGGAGACATAAAGCTGGAGAAGGCTGGTGTGAGAGAACAGTGACTCCAGGGCTGAAGGAGCTGCTGTGTCAGTGGTAGGCAGTGCAGTGGCCACAGGAGCAGAGTAGTACTATAAAACCAGACCTTTTGCTCACTTTCACACACACACCTAAAACAACAGTTACTGTAAACACATTTTGAGACAAAACAGAAACACATTCTCATTTACTGATTAAAC